GGGGGGGGGGTCGAGGGCTGCACGCTTGGCCTCGAGGGAGCCTCGAGCGCGCGGTAAGAGGTGGTATGAAGCCGAGCAGCAGAGCTATGCCGAGTCCTATAATGGCGGCAGCGCTGGTAGAGCGCGATCAGCCGCGGGAGAGATGGGTTGTAGCTTTCGGAGGGACAGACGAGCTTGCGCCAACTCGTCCTGAAGGGCATTGAGTTCCTCGCTGAATTGAGGTGGAGTGCAAGGGTTCGGTAAGAATGCAGCAGACGTCGCTACGAGATACCTCTGTACTCACAGCAGTTGGATGTTCTGGCGGCTGCTCGCTTCTTGCACCTCTTCGATTCTAGATTGAGCCTCATCCAGAGCAGCTTGAGCATTCTTCAGCTCCTTTTCGAGCTCAGGAACGCGCTCAGCCGTTTTGCGAACGACTACAGTTGCTCTGAGCTCGCGCTCGAGATCTCGGACGCGCGAGACGAGCGACGTGGAGTCCATGCCAAGTGTCAACGTGCGAGGTCCGGCAGAGCTGCTAGAAAACGCGTTTGCAGAATTCGGGCCAGCATTCGCGCTCGGGCTGAATGCTGGGGCGACTGACGGCGCCGAGGTAGGCCCACCGGGTGCGGAAGGGGACCTGCTCGCAAATCCGCGTGTAGACAGAGTGGACGGCATGACGTGCAGAGATGGCATCATGCTTGCTGCTGAGCTCGCGACCGATCCCGAGCTGGAAGATCTAGACAACGCAGCTCTGCTTGCCACGGGAATTTTCTCGCGCAAATTCTCCGGCGCTGGCTGCATGGCCGACTGCAGCTCAGCGAGCGTGGAGTCTCTGCAGACAATACGAAGCTATGTCAGCTGATAGAAGCAGCGATGAGGGCGACATTTTGGTGCCTGTCTCAGACTTACAGCTTACGTTCGCGAGCTCGACTGAGCGCGCTATTGTTGTTGGTGGCCCGTTCTCGTGTCTGCATCAGCTCTTTGCACCTCGCTTCCAGACGCTTCACGTCTTGTTGAAGCTGGTCTCGAGACTGTTCCAGGACTGTCGCACGTTCGACCACAGTTCGACCGACGTTGATCAATTTGCGAATGCGGTCGACGAGCATCTCCGGGTTGCCCTTGCCGACGTCAGAGCCTTCTTCGGTGCTATCCCGAGACAGTAAACTGCCTTGAGATTTTGCAGACGATTGGGACGAAGGCTCAAAGGCGGCCCGCAACAATTGCAGCCTCGCATTCGAGCCAGCGAGGTCGGCGATATCAACTTTCTCCGAAAGCATTGGCGTGATCTTGGCTAGAGCAGCGCGACAGGCCGCCAGCTCCAGATTGACCTTTTGGAGGCTCGGATGCAAGACTTGTTCACCTTCGGCTTCGCTTCCCGCCACTTTGACAGGGCTAGCTGGTCCACTTGCGCTCATGTTGAGCATGCGTGCCTCGGCCAAATCTTCTTCGAGCCTTCGATTCTGCTTCTCGAGCAGGGCAATGCGAGCTTCGAGCTCGTGCTGGACCTGTCGCGCTCTGTCGCTAGTTCCCGAGCTCAGTCGAGAATGTCGATCGAATGATGAGCCTGCAGCGCTGAGGCTGCTTTGGCGCTGGAAGACTGCGAGCTGACGCTTCGCACTTTCTGCTTCGACTTTCCAGCGCTCGAGGTCGTGCTCCGCAATCTGTAGCTCCGTTTCAAGCTTCCTAACAGCGCCCGAGTTGATGCCGCCACTTTGAGCTGCTGAATCCAGGGACTCGCCCGCGCTGCTGCTACCAAGTCGCTGGAGCTCGTCAGCCATGTCAGAAATATGCGTGCTCATGCTGGTGATCAGGCCGTCGATGTCTTGACCAGCAGTCTTTGCCTTCTTGTTTGAGGCAAGTCCTTTGATCTGTGCCAGGAAGTCGTCCATCTCTTCCCGGCCTTCGTCTTTGCCAAGGAGACGTGCGCACCGTTCGTCTTCCTTACGAAGTCGGCGCTCGGCGCTTTCGAGCCTTCGTTCGAATGCGACGAAGAGCTCGGCGCGGTCCGACATGAGCTTTCGCTCTGCGCTCACCTCGATCTCTAGGTTCGAAAGCTTTTTGTGGACAGCAGTCTCACTAGTCTTCAGAGCTGCACGCTGCTTCTCAGCTTCGGCAAACTTCGCAGTGGAATGCGCGAGCGCTTGCTCCGCCTTGTTACGCAGGTCTGTTTCTCGTGACAGTAGCTGCTCGAGCGTCTTGTTCCTCGCGGTGCTGGCGTCGAGGTCAAGTCGGTGTTGCTGTGCGCCGTCCAGCCCGGCCTTTAGAATCTCTATCTCGCGTTGCCGTTCTGCGGCCAGCGCTTCAGACTCGAGGCGAGCTTTCTTAGAAGCTTCGAATTCTGCATCGGGCACAGATGAACCTTTCGGCCTCTTGCGCTCCTCTTCATGCGAGCGTTCTGCAATTTCGGCGCGTCGAATCAGAGCACTGACCTCCGCGCTCGTCTCTACAACCCGGTCGACAGCAGCTTTGCGCTCAGTTTCGAGTTCGCGCTCCACTCGCTCGACTGACGCCTTCGCAGCTTGAAGCTCGTTGCGCAGAGCAGCGTCCGTCTGGCGGCGAGCGACCTCTGCGTCTCGTCGCTGATTCGATCTCATCTCGGCATCCTTTGCCGCGGCGCTGACAAGTTCCATTTGGCCTCGGAGGACCTCGAGGGCCTTCTCGCTGGTGTCGAGTCTGCGTTGCAGCTCGTCACTGCGACTTTTGCTCCTAATGACTTCCGACGCCTGCTCCTCGAGCTGAGACTCCAGCTCCTCCGTCTTGTCCCCATCGCGATCCAGTTGCCCGGCTTGCTCGTGTTCATGCAGTGTTTGGACTAGTAGTTCACTTTGTTCCTTTAAAGACATCTCAAGGTCCTTGACGCGGCAAGCAAGTACACTTGCCTGATGCTCAAGCAAGCGGCGGCGCAAGTGATCCATCTGCTCGTACACGCTCAGCAGCTCGCGCGTGACAGCATCAACGCGATCTTGAGCGTTGATGAGCTGGTCAGCCACTCCGCCACCAATCTGCTCTCTCGGCGTGCGCACCAGTGGCGTGCTCGGCGACTCAGGTTCGACGACAGCATTGCCATCAACGTCACACTTGCCTCGACCGTTGGGAAAGGCATCCCTTTTCCCGCCTGCAGTCCGTTGCAGCTTCGCTGTGGCATCCCGCATACGCTGCTCCACCTTCAATTTGTGTTTGGCGGCTTCGGCTTTGCGCTCCAAAAGTCTGAGCTCCTTCTTCAACTGCTCCACGTGATCCAACGACTCGATGTTGGTGTATGCTTGAGCATCCACGAGAGCCGAATCAGCCAACAAAGCAGTAATGAGGGCGTCCTTGCTAGGTGCGATTCCATTGGCGAACTGCGGACCTACGGAAGACCTTTGTGACCGGGCGCTGAACGAGACGTTGGAAGGTCTTCGCAAATGTGATCGAGAGGAGGACGAGATCGGACGGACGGAATGTGCAGAGGGAGAGCCGCCGCTCTCATCGTGAATGGAGGTGCCCCATTCCTCCGAAAGCGGATCTAGACCAGCTGAAGTCAGCCCACCCCAGCTAGAGGCAACCACACTCAGACCGCCAACGCTACTAGTTCGAGACATAGCTCTTGGTCTGGCCCCCGGCCGTCGAGCTGTCTTGTCTGTATGCGCTCCGGAAGCAGAGCCCGATGGATCGGCGCCATCCGTGGGTAAGGCCAGCGTTGCGAACTGTGACCTAGGGCTCACATCCGGAAGAGGAGCGTACAAAGGATTGGGCGACAGGGAGGACGGCTTGCGACTGTGATGCGTTGGTCCGCTCGCCAGCAAAGCGAGTCCGAGCCGTGGAGAAGAAGAAGCGTGCGACGAATCGCTTGACGGCGTGACGACTGTCGAAGAGCTCAGCACTTGAAGCCCATTAGCCCTGCCCTTTGCTGCACGAGCAGTGTCGATCGGGGTGGGTTTGGAGGAGGAGAGTCGACCGCTACCGAAGCTGCGTATGCTGCTTGAATGGTCCCGCGAAGCATCAGAGACACCGCTTGTAGAGCTATTGGTGCTCTCTCCTCGTAGTCTTGACAAGCCTGGCGTGTTGCTTCGATCGCCCGGGGCTCCAGCCGCACTCAAGCCATCCTGTACTTTGAGAAGCGAAGCGTCTCTGGACGCTTTCGTATTCTTTGCACCTCCCGAAGCACCGTTCGTCTGACGGCTTGGGGTTTGCAATCTAGCGTACTTCTCGCTGATCGCATTCGGCACTTCTATCTCTTGTCCTTGAGCTAGCGGTGTCCTCAACTTTGCTTCTGCGTCGTCAATCTCGTCTGGCCACTCCTGCTGGGCTTGAGCTCTCGCTGTGCCTGGATCGACGAGCGAAATGTTGGGAACGTCTGGAGATTGTCGAGTTTGATTGCTTGCTGGCTTCGCCTCTGCGGAGCCAACTTTTGCGCTGGATTGCGTACTGCCAATATCGCCACTCGTACTTGATGCCGTCATTCTTGCACCATTCTCAGGCTTGGAAATTGCTACTCGTCTTATCGCCGTTGAGACCACCGCAGACAGATGATGGTTACTGGCCGTGCTCATTACGCTGTCGCTCCGGTTCAGTCTAAGATCTAGGCTAGCGGCT